ATGACGACGAGACGAAGAGATCGCCGTTGAGATCGCCGCCAACCGCCGCCGGACGCGCCGCCACGCGCCGCCGCAAGGAAGCAGTCGCCGGAGTTTGTCGCCGCGCGTGAGAGGGCCGTTTTCTGATTGGTCAACGCCGTTGACTTCGCCGTGACGTCAGCTTTCTGGATTGGTCAAGTTTGTTCGATTCCGAGAAGATTTGATTTGCGGTCAACTGTCCGGGCCAGCCAGATCTACATAAATTTTAAGCAGTAAGTTTTCTTCATCAAACCTTTAGATCCGCTGCGCATAGGTTTATGTTGAATGTTTGTCCGTGATTTGTGCATATCGAGATCCTCGTGGGTTCCAACACGGGCAAGGTCGAGTAGGTCAAGTATAAGGATCCCCCTCAGATCGACGACTACTTCGAAGAGATCGAGCGAGACTCGATAGATTATGATGGCCCACCTATCTTCGACATATACTCCGAAGATGAAATCATGGACGTCGATGTAATTGAAGAAGCCGAGGTCGAGGAAACAAAGGTCAAAGGCGATATGCAAGAAGTTTGGACGATTGAGCAGCAGCAATCCGAGATACGCGAGTTGGTTAGAGAAACCGACCGCATACTAAGCAAGTCCGACAAAGAAGAAGGCAAGATCAATGAAAAGCGTAAGGAGTCCATCTTTCCATCTGAATTCTCGAAATATTTTTCAACGGTCATGAAATACGAGTACGAGATGACGGACTATGAAGGACCGCCTATATTCGATGAATACCCCGACGACTTTGTCGAAGATGAAGGAACTTTGGTTGAGTCTAAAGGAGATGAAGTGGCCGGCGAAATTCAGAAAGAGAATGAAGAAGGTGTGCTGGAGATTTCAGTGGTTGAGGAAGAAATTGCGCACGTAGTGAGAACGCCCCAATTAATGGTCGATGACAAGTCCTTGAGGACAAGGACATTCTTAAAGGGGGCGGGAATGATGCGGAAGTGGGTTTTGAGCCCCGAAGATGAGAAGGTCCGAAGGCCGATATGATCCGAGAAGGCCAAGCAAAGGGCCGGAACAAGGCTTGCATGGCCTAGGAGACGTACACGAGCCCGTATGCAAGGGTGCCAACGAGCACAATGGCATAGGGGGTCGAGCAAGAGGCTCGAGAGATCAAGGCTAGAAGGACCGAGCACATGGAGGTATGCAAGGGCACGCAAAAAGGTGGTCCGTAAGAGGACGACTATCGAGCGCAAGAAAGGGCGCATTAGACAAGGGCGTGAATACGCGCATTGGCGTAGACGCGCATGGCGCTTGGAGATTAGGCGAAAAGGTGCGCAGGGGGAGGATGTCGGGAGGTTAATGCGCACGAGGGATTGCAGCAAATGGACGAGCGCGCATCGAGCGTTGGACGATGCACGGACAGTGTTGGGCGCACGTAGGCACGCAGTAGGCGAACGGAGCGCTGGGGCGCTGAGTGGGACGCGCGGTCCAGTGGACAGGCGCGGGAATCGCGCGGGGTTATCGAGCGTGGGCAGCAGCCGCGCGGTTGACAAGGACGCGCGAGAGCAGGGTAACCAGATGGGCGAGCGCACGATGGGGAGTGAGTGGTGCGCAAGCGCGCAAAGCCTAGGCCGTGTAGGAACAGGCGAAGGAGAGACGGCGCATGGGCGAGCCGCGTGTGCAGTTGGCGACGCGTGTGAGATGGGGGAAGACCTAGGCCTAGTAGGCTTAGGCAAGCTGGGCGACAGGCACGGGATAGTCACGCGGGCGAAGGGTGGGATCGCGTGCGCACCCAAAGGGCGAGGCAAGACCAAGGCAGCAAGCCTAGTCCTCATAGGAATAGGCATGGCGCGAATCCTAGACCCCGCAGGACTAGGAAAAGAAGTTGAGTGTCGTGATGCGCGTGAAGGATCGGTGACGAGAGTAATCCTCGGAAGATCAGGCAACGTAGCCTGGAGCATATTCCTAGTAGGAATAGGCAAGGGCTCGAAGTCTGATCCTTCAAGGAATAGGAATAGCATACACAAGGCGCGAGACCTTACTCCTCGAGGCAAGTGGATTGGCGGGCGTAGGAGACGCGACCTTAGTCCTCG